ATTAACTTGAAATAAGTTAAATATAGGTGTATTAGTAAGTGTAATGGTAGGTGATGATGGAATTGATAGGGGTGATCATGAAGCAATAGAGTAAATAAGGTCTAAGTAGTTTGCATTTAGGTTAAGTTCTTTTGTATTGTTGTGTTTTTTTTGTCCTAGAAATTTTGTTGCAGAGTTAGCTGGGATGTTAAAAGTGCAGTAATTCTGAATTCTGTTAGAGTTATATATGCATCCTGTACATCGTGTACAATTGACAGTTGGAAGTGGGTAAAGGCTAGTATAGGAGGGGTTGTGTTTAGAAAGCCAGTGCGTAATAGAAATAGTATTGTCATCATTATTGTATTTGCGTGCTTTTCTAATAATTATTTCTTGATAATTATAGTTAAAGGTAATTAGCTATGGTTTGGATTTGGAGTTATAGTGGCCTGTTGTGAATGACAAAGAATCAGAGCTAGGAAGGTTTAGTGATGAGTCTATTTGTCTGGTATGGTTGTCTGTAATAATTTTGTTAAAATACTATTATTTAACAATTACAATACTATATAAATAAACTAAATAAACTTTAAATTAAATATAACTATTAAACAAACTAAATATTTTAGTTAATTGTTATAAAATTTTTAAATTATCTTATATAAAATATTATTAAATTAAAAAAATTAAATTAATTATCTATTAAATATAAATTAAGGATATATTTTTTATATAATTATATTTTTATTTTATATTTTTAACAAAACAAATATTTATTAAAAAAAATACAATAAAAGATTAGATTCTATAATTTAGTAGTCTAGATGCTACTTCTTCACAGACAAGGTCAACAGTTTAATTCTAGCTAAAGTTAAAAACTTTGTAATATATAAAAACATATTAATGTATATGAAGCCTTGTGGCTAAGTTTATTTTTTTATTTTTTATTTTTTTTTTATTTTATACAATATTATAGTAGAAACTTTAAAATACAATAAGAAATTTAATTACAAAAAAAAATTTTAAAATAAAGATTTCTAAACTATATTTGTGTTGCTAAAAGTAGATATCCAATGTGACATTACATCTTCTATTTTCTAATAAGTGCTATAGATAATTGTTTTAAATTATTTTCTAGTTAGAATAGGTTAGAGGAAACCTTAGATAAGAGTCAAGATATTATATAAAGCATGTAGTTAAAGTAAAACTTTGTAAGAGCCATTTGTTAATTGCAGATGTAGTATTAAAAGTTTGTATAGTTCTTAAGAAGTTATTAATAAAGGTAAATATTGTTAAAAAGTGAATTTTTGTATATTTAGTTTTAGTAATTATATTTCAGATGAGTTCCTATTGATGTTGAGATATGTTGCATGTAAACTATAAGTCTTGATAGTACCAGATGAGAAGATTGTTGGCTAAATTAATCAAAAAGATATTTGTTTGTTTATTTAAAAAAATTTGATATTATTGTAGATTGTTATAGAAAAAGTACCAGATATGGCATATAAGATAGATTGGTAATTAGGATTGGTGCAGTTGGTTGTAAAATTTAAAATAATATTAAAAATAGAGGATGCTAAACTATTAGATATTTGAAGTGAGATAAGTGTTAATTGGATTGTATTAAGAATTGCTTGGTTTATATTAATATTATTGCCTGTACAGAGAAAAAGATAAAGTGTGTTTTCAAGGTTTGTACATTGGAAGTATGTTAATGTTGTATAGAGATAAGGATAGCATATATTAAGATTTTCAATAGTGAACAGGTTGTTTGTAAGAATTTTAATACAGTAGAAGTATTTTTAATTATCATGTTCTATAGACTTGATTATTTGAAAGTTGAGAGCTCAGTTAGGTTCTAAGAAATTTTGAAAATGTTTAAATGTAGTCCAAAAAGAAAGTTCTTGAATTGTAATAGTATTTTTGATAAAATTTATGATTTTGAATAGTATAAGATAATTATTTCATAAAAAGTAAGTTGAAGTAATTGGCAATAATAGTTCCAGAATGGGTTTGGAAGTTCCTCATTTGGCTAAGAAGTCTGCTTAGTTATGAAATAAATTTGTATATTATTTAATTTTTAAAAATTATACATTAAGGTTTTAAAAGTTTTGAAATGATTAATAAAAGAGATAATATCCCAATTTTTAATATGTAATTGTTTTAAGAAGAAGATGTGTTGCAGATTTTTGATTGCTGTTTGGTTGTTAAAATGAATTGTAACAGTAATATTTGATAGTATAACTAAAAGAAATGATGGAACTGCTTCAAGTTCAGTGTGATTAGTATCAGTATATAAATTTGTACTTGTATTAAAATTTATATTGGTGTTTGTTTAACAAATCTAGTCTATGTCTGATTTAATATTTGGTATTTAACAGTCTTTAATAGAACTATCAATATAAAAAATTAGTTGTTTAAGTTAGAGTTTTTGATTGAAGAGTAGAGTTTGATTAATTGATTTTTATATGAAATTAATTTAACAGTTTGTTAAATGAGTTGTATTTTAGGAAAAGTTAGGTTTACTAAAGGATAAAAAAAAGGTAAGGGTTAAAAAGATGTGTGATTATTAATATGGATAAGTAAGAAAATTTTATTAAAGTCAATTTGTAGTAAGTTTTTAGTAAATTTAAGTTGATTGTAAAGAATACTAATAGATTGAAAGTTTGAGATTATTGGAAGTAAGGTGAAAGTAATTATAGTAAATCCAGATAAGTGATAATAGTGTTGATAGAAATTGGTTTGTTAGAAATGAGTTTATTGCAAAAGAAAGATTTGCTGATTGTTATTGTAGAAGATTTTGTAAGAAAAGTGATGGGTTGAGGAAAAGGAAAAAATGTTTATTGAGTTAATAAAGAAATTTTTGGAGGGAAGAGTTAAATAAGGCTAAGTTGTAGTGATATTATAATTTTGGTTATAAGAAAAGATTTGTGTAAATTATATTAGTTGATAATCTTGTATAGGCTTGTTTGTTCATAGATATATATTATTCTATAGAAGAAAATGTAAGTTGTCTGCTATTATAACTTGTTTAAGAAATAGGATTCTGTTGTTTTTTAAGCTTTGAATAGTTAACTTAGATAATTTTGAAGGAAGTATATCATATATTGTTTTGTAATTTGTAAAAATTTCTGATAATAGTAAAAAGTTAGACAATGAGATATTGTGTTTTGCAAATTGGCAAATATGAAAAATTAGTGTAAAGTTTTGTGTTTTATGATAATAAGTATTAAGTATATTTATTATGAGCTTAGGTTGCAAAATCTTAAGAAGCCAGGCCTTAGTTCACAAAGTACCAATAATATTAAGTAAAGGTGTAGAGTTAAAAATATGTTCAATGTTAGAAGCACTTAATTTTTGTAAAATATTGTTAAGAGTTGGTGGATTAAAAGATAGTGAATTATTAAGAGTAATATTATTAGTATTTTTTGCTAGTACTAGTATTTTTTTGGATTGGATAGTAAATATTCAAGAAAATTTAGTTTGAGTATTTTGGTGAATTGGGGTTATTTGTAGTAAATATTTCAGAGAGGGTTGAAGAATAAGATTAAAAAGAACTAAAATTTGTGATAGTATAATTTTTTTGTATTTAATAAATTTAAAAAATTTTCAATTTTTTTAAGAATAGTATCAAGAGTTGGTTTTAAGAAGCCATTTTTATCATAAAATATTGTTAGATATTAGATAATGTCTTAAGGTCTTCTAGTAGAAATAGTATAGTTATTGATAGTAAGAAAAGTTGAAAAAGAGGTAGTTGATTTTGTTTAATATATAGAAGTCTGATTTAGAAGAGTTTATTTTGATATTGTTAAGTTTGTAAAGAGTAAATATATCATTGAGTATATTTTGTATTGTAGATGGGTTTTCATAATATCATCTATATAGGCTAATAGAGGAATAGTAATTGTTTGAGCAGAAGTATTAGAAATAATATCAAAAGGTGATTGTGCTAATATTTTAAGAAATTGATTTTTATATTTTTAATTAATGAAAAAAGAATAGAGTTATAGTAGATTTTTTAGAGTAAGGGTAAATAAGTTTCTTCTTGCTCTATTCCAGATTTAACTTGAACTGGTTGTGTTAGGCCATGCCTAGTGATAATTCTAACAAGTTGAGAGAAATGTAATTCTTTAATAAGATTTATACTAGGAGTTAGAATGCCAATTCATTTGTAGACATTTTGTAGTCTTGTAATATTAATTTTATTAAAAACTTTAAATATATCTTGAAATAATATTCAAGCTTCTTTGTTATTAACTTAGTAGTATTCAATTGCATTATATAGAATTTGAATTAGAGTATGAGTAGAGAAATTTTTGGAGGCTGCAAAGTTAAGATTAGAGAGGAGGTTATTGAAAGTAATAATCTTGTCATGCTTAGATATGAAAATTTTTGTGAAAGTTTTCTTAAAGGGTTCAATGATAGATATAGGTTGTACTTAAATTAGAGTATAGTTTCAGTTTGATTTTATTGAAATAAGAAAGATATTGAAATAAGGAAGATATTGAAAGATTTCTATTCTGTAGAAACTTTTTGAAATTGAAAATATTTGTTTAAAAAAAGTCTAAAAAAGTTTTATGCTTTGGAGCCTACATATTTAATATGTTTATAGCAGATTTCAGAAGGGCTGACAGCTTTTTAATTTGGGAGATTAGAGTTAATCTTTTGCTATTCTTGTTGTGTAATTTCTTAAGTAAGATTTTGGTAGTGACTTTCAATTTTAAGATGTGGTTTGTACAGATCTAAATATTCACTAATGCTAAAATAGTTTTTAGAAGTTTGAATTCAAAGTAAGTAATAAAATATATATATATTGCATTGAGTATTTCATTATAATCAGTTAAGAGTAAGTTATTTGTTAATAGTTTGTTAATGTATATATTGTTATATTTTTCAAGAATCTTTTTTGTAAAAAAGTTTGGGAGTTTCAGAGAAAAGTTTGTTTTAATTCTTAATTTTTTGTTTAATTTTATTATAAGTGATTTGATTTTAATAATAATTAAGAGTAGTTTTGGTAAGATAAAGTTTATTTTAGAGATGAGAAAGAGTAAATGATAGGTTTTAAATTGTATTATCAGATTATTTAGACAAGTAGTTTTGAAATAATATATTAAAATTAGATGAATTGATATGATTTTTGAGAAAAAAAATTTTTTTATAGTGATAATAGAATTGAGAATGTTTAAATAGATTAGTTTCTTTAATATCTTTGATAGTATTTACTTTTTAAAATAGAATATGTTTAGAAGCAGCTTTAATTAGGTCTTTGTGAATTTGGTTTCAGATCTTATTTAATTGGTTTTGGTTAGAGATTGTAAAAAGTTTAATAAGCAATTATTTAAGGTTTTGTGTTGTATAAGTAGCATAATTTTTGAAAAAGAATTAGAAGAGTTTTTCTAAAGAAAGATCTTTCTTTTTCATAGTTGTAAGGTTTTGGTTTATTAATTATAATAAAAATTTCTAAGGTAATAAGATTATGATCAGATTCTATTAAATGATTTTGAAGTATAT